CTGCCTATGGCTGCTTCAAGAAGTGAGTCGACACCAGCCGTAGCGTAAGCATCGAGGGTCAGGACCAAGGATGAGTTTTAGGTCACCACTTCGCTCCTTGGCCTCGCATGATCCACGTGTCTCTTTAAACTATTGTCGCAGCTGTCTTCTGAAATACAAATGAAATACATCTTTCAACCATTATCGTCCTCTCTCCTTACGTTTTCATTTCCATTTGCTGCTAGATCGCCAGTGTCTTCTAGCGATTATTGTCGACTCAATTTTTTTTACACGAGTATCTTCAAATCTCTAGGAAGTTTCTAGATTGATTTCAGCGCGTTTAATTTCCAAAAAATTACCGAAAAGGCAACCAAAGTGAGAAGTTTCTATTTCCTCGACGATCTTCGTTGGATAATAGAGAAATCACTGATACATTCCAAAACATGGATTGGTAATGTAAAAATCTGCCAGTCAACTCGACATCGCGACCAAACCGCCTAATAAAACATTAATCGTATAAACGATCGATATTTCACACAGAGATGCGACGGAACTTCGTATGGGGATGATAGAGGGAGAAGAGGGCAAATTTCACGCACATATGTACGTCTCTCTGATGGATTCACCTTGTTTTAAAATATCGCGAAAGGCGAGCATGCAGTTGCAACACGTCATCGAGACACTGTTTACCTTTGAACAGTCTTTCAACTGGCTAATATATACGTCGCTCAGTCTCAAGTAACAATCACGCACACGAGATTCGACTCTTCGCACAACTTGTCAATGGCTTTTTTTACTTAAGACACACTTGGCTTTACACTTGGAGACATACGTAAAGCGTCAATATGTCGACGATCGTGTAACGTAACGAAGAACATCTCTGCATCCTCTGAACTGGAGAGGGGGGGGGACAGCTAAACAAAATGAGAGTACGTAAACAACATATCCTATCGTGCCTTTTTCGACGCGAACGAACTTTTTATAGCAGCCACGAAAGTGTGAACCGACGAGAAGGATGTTTACCAACGATTCTCGGACGAAAGAGAATGGAAGTAAATATACCTCGTGAGAACTACAATAATCATAGCGATCAAAGCGAGACAGTGTGCACCAGCGCTCCGCGAAGCGATTACTGAGGCTTTCGCGAATTCCGTGGCTCTCCTTTCCCGTGCTTTTCCTCGTTTTCACCCCTTCGTTTTTCTATATTCGACGACAGCCCCTTCACGTCTCCTGTCAGCGAACGGAACACGAGCAGCGTTTCCAGCGTATTACATACTCCCTTGGCAGCAGATATTGCGAGGACGAGGGCGCATGCACTGCCTCCAAGAATCAATAGACGCTTCTGGTCACGTGAAGTATCCGCGAGAACAGAGACCTACCTCAGACGAAGGTAAAATTATATGTAGAAAAGGAAAGAGAATCGTGGAAGCATGAGACAGACAGACAGACA